GCCACCCACCCACCCCACCAGGGACACCTCTGTGTGTGCTCCCAGGAACATACCCGGGCGTTCATGGCCTTGTGGTTCTTCTTGGTTTTCTTCAGGAACTGTTTGAGGCTCCCTGAGGACACGTATTCCGTGATGAAGATGACCTGGGGAGGGGGAAGAGCAGGATCAGCTCCCCCTGGCCCCGCAGGGGTGAGGGGCTGCTGGGGGCAGGACCTGGAGAGGGAAGGGGAGGCCGGGGAGTGGGGTGAGGAGCAGGGCTGGGACCCCCCCTACCCGTGCCTTCGAGTCCTTCACGTCCAGCCAGTACTTGTGGAGCTTCACGATGTTGGGGTGATCCACCAGCACCAGCTGCTCGAACATGGTCTTGATCTTCTCCTGGGGGCACACAGGGGACACGTGAGGGGTGTCCTGGGACATGGCAGGACAGGGGAGGTGGTAGATGGTGGGTTGGGACAGGACAGGGGAGGTGGCAGGTCCTGGGTTGGGACAGGACAGGGCAGGTGGCAGGTCCTGGGTTGGGACAGGACAGGGCAGGTGGCAGGTCCTGGGTTGGGACAGGACACCCCCTGAGAGCTAGGACACAGGGACACTGGTGTGGGGTCTGGAGGACACTGGAGCTGCCTTTGAGGGATAACTGAGGAAGGCACAGGGAAGGGCAGGAGCCCATTCTGCCAGGCCGTGCTGGGATGGGGGGGGTCTCAGGACCCCTCCCCGAGGGTCACTCACCTCGTGTGCTTTGAAGGCCTTCTTGTCGGTGAAGAGCAGCTCGTTCCACACCACCTCCACCCCCTCCTCCGTGTCCATGGCCAGGAACGTGCTCTGGATGCCCGGCATGTTCCCCTGGTTCACCTGTGGGCAGGCAAGGTGTGAGATCCCCCCGAGGGACGCGCTGGGGGGGGACAGGGGTGGTCTGGGGGGGACCCCAGCCCTCAGGATGGGACGGCACCACCTGCTCCAAGGGCAACTCACAGAGCAAAATCCATTATTTTTTTTTTTTTTACCTTTAGGTGGCACAACAACGGCCCATTCCACAGACCTTACTGGTTTGTCTGACTGGTTTGCCTGACCCACCTCCAGCCGCTGCTGGGAATTCATTCAGAGCTTTCCTGACCACCTGAACCCACTACTGTGGTGTGTACACCCTGAACGCACCTCTGTTGCACAGTTACTGACAGAGCAATGGTGCTTTGGGAATGACTGGAAGTTCCCAGCACGAACACATAAATAAAGAATGAAATAAATAAATCTGACTGAAAGCCGGTTCCTGCTCGAGAAGAGCAGAGTCCCAGTCCCTGTGCTCTTACACTCCCTGCCAGGGCTTGGGGCTCATCCTGCTGCTGGGGCTGGTCCCACTGCTGGGGCTCACCTGGCTCTGGGGCTCATCCCCCCTCTCAGGGCTGATCCCACCTACACTCGGGGCAGGCTCAGCACCCCCAGCTCATTAGAAGGGTCTGCCTGGGCAGTTCATGGCCCAGTTCCTGCTGTGGGCACACAAAGCACCTCTGTTCCTTCTTCTGCCCGGCACAGGCTCCACGTGCTCCACACAAAGCCCAGCACGGACAGCCCCAGCTGGCCCCGCCGGCCACAGCCCTCCCAGTAACCCCAGCAGCCTCCCAGTGACCCCAGCAGCCCTCCCAGTGATCCCAGCAGCCTTCCCAGTGATTCCAGCAGCCTCCCAGTGATCCCAGCAGCCCTCCCAGTGACCCCAGCAGCCTCCCAGTGATCCCAGCAGCCCTCCCAGTGACCCCAGCAGCCTCCCAGTGCACACAGAGCCAGCACAGGAATCACAGAATCATCTGGGAATCCCGGAATGGTTTGGGTTGGAGGGACCTTAAAGCCCATCTCATTCTGGGGACCCGCAGCCTGGGGTGGTCCCTCCCGGCCCTGAACGAGCTGCTCTGAGCCCAAGGGGCATCCCAGCGCCTGGGGCCGGGGCAGTGGATGTGCTGGGATCCGGGAGGCTCTGGAATGTGGTGGGAAGAGCAGCCAGGCCTGCGCGGGGGGGGTGGGGAGGAACATCCCCCTCTCCGTGCAGACACGAACGTGCTCTGTCTTGTGCCGGGCGAGAATAAAACTGATCCCCAGCAGCTGCTGCAGCTCCGGGCTCTGGGACTGCCTCCATGAACAAATAAACGTGGCACTGTCCCACTGTCCCACTGTCCCACAGCCTGGCTGCGACAGAAGGCACCGGCACAGGATCCCTGCTCATCCCTCAGCCCCCTCCCGGCATTCCTGGCAGCTCTGGGGGTGCTGCTGGTGGGCACCACTTCCAGAAAGTGCTTGGCTGGTGCTGGGGACGAGGCACTGGAGCTGGACCAAGGATCAGGTTGCAGCTTCCAATAAATCGCTCCCTTTTGAGCTTTTCTCGTCAGCCAGGGCTGAACCAGGCACGGGAACGGGCTCAGGGGGCCGGGAGAGCAGCTGTGGGATGAGGCAGGCACGGGAACAGGCTCAGGGATGAGGATGTGGGGCTGGGAGAGCAGGCAGGAACAGGGCCTGGAGCAATGGGGAAAGGCTTTTCTGCTGCCCATGGCAGGGAGTTTTGTCTGGTCCCTTCCCACCCAAACCATTCCATGGTTCTCCACTCCCTGTGTGCACCCCTTGTCCCACTCCTCGTGCCACCCCGACGCTTCAGCGCTGGGAAGGGGTGGGATTTGCTGGGTCACAGGGCTGAGCAGGGAACACAACGTGCCTGGAAAACCCCTTGGAGGGTAAATCCCAGCCTGGCCCCCCGGGCTGGTGTCCCCTGAGCTGGGGACAAGGAGGGCTGTGTCAGCTCTGTTCATGGCTCAGGATCAGGGGGTGCTGGGCACAAGCACACCCCATGGACAGGGGGTCCCTGCAGGCTCTGCTGGCACTGGACCCCGCTGTTCTCCCCCCAGACCTCATCCCCTGGCCCTGACCAAGGCCGTGCCCCTCATCCCTCCCCGCACTGTGGCCCCAGGCAGGGCAGGGGTGGCTGTTGCAACACAGAAATCACTTTGGAAAACACGGGAAAGGGAAAAAAAACATGAGCTGAGAGGGCTGGGGCCCCAGTCAGGGACACCTGAACCCTGTCCTGCAGGTCACCGAGGGACAGGGACAGGGAGTGGCAGCACAGGCAGAGCCCGTGGGACTGCCTGTGCCGAGGGACAGGGGCTGGAGAAACGTGCTTTGGGATCCCAGGCTCCACTCCCAGATCCCAGCTCTGCCTCCAGGGCCCCTCCAGCACCAGCTGGGCCACCAGCAGCCCCTTTGTCCCCAGGGAGGGGACAGGGACCAGCAGCAGCCCCTCCATCCCCAGGGAGGGGACAGGGACCAGCAGCAGACCCACCTGTCCCTCAGTAGCTGCAACTGTCCCCATGGCAGGAGCACCACAGGCTGGGACAGGGGGCTGGGGACACCCGGGGTGCCCCCAGCAGGGCAGCTCCACCCGAGGATTCCTGGGTGCCAGACAAACCTGTTCTGTCCCTGCCATCCTGTTACACAACCAGCAGGTGAAGGGAACGCACCAGGAGGAAAATATTTTGGTTCCAGTGAAGCATTTGATCCTGTCTCTCACAAAACCACGGTCTCAGCTCTGACCCAGCCCGCGTGCCTGAGTGGCTGACGGTGAGGAGGCGCTGGCACGGGGCAGGATGAGCTCTGACACTGAGGAGCCTCAAGGAAGGAGCAGAGCTGGGACAGAAAACAGCAGGGCTGGTCGGTCAGCCAGGAAAACCAACCTGGCACCCAGCTGTGCTCCAGGAACAAGGAGAGCAGGGAGGGAAACACTCAAGGACAACACACAGCAGGATGGGCAGAGACAGAGCTCCCCCTCCTCCAGGGCCTGAGGGGCATCCCTGGCACCCAGCCCTTGTCCATGAAGTCTCCCTGTCACAGAATCACCAAATCCCAGGGTGACTTGGGCGGGAAGGGACCTGAAAGCCCATCCAGTCCCACCCCCTGCCATGGGCAGGCACACTTTCCAATGGCTAAGGTTGCTCCAAGCCCTGTCCAGCCTGGCCTGGAAAACTTCCAGGGATCCAGGGGCAGCCACAGCTTCTCTGGGCAACCTGTGCCAGGGCCTGCCCACCCTCACAGGGAAGAACTCCTTCCCAACATCCCACCTAACACTGCCCTCTGGCAGAGGGAAGGCACTGTCCCTCCCCAGGGGATCCCTGCCTGACAGCCACAGTCAAGGCATCCCTGTGGACAGGGATCCTGCCTTTCCCAGCTGGATCTGGAGCAGGGCTCCTTGGGGAGTGTCCAGCTGGTGCCCCTGCCCGTGGGTGGCAGGGCTGGGAGCCTTTCCTTCCCTCCGTGCCCACGGCTGCCCTTCCCTCCTGCCCAGCAGCTGCCGGAGCAAACACTGTGATCCCTGTTCTCCTGCCACGCTGCGGGGAAGGGACAGAGGAGTACTTTTCCACTGCCCAGACACGAGCCAGGAGAGATCCTGCACGGGGCAGCACCGGGCTCGTTATTTCCTGGGAGAAGCTGTTTTTGCAGCACA